AAAAAAAAAAAAAAAAAAAAAAAAAAAGAAGAAAAAGCCTCGTTCAACGTGTCTCGAGTACATCGCGGATTTGTAAAGCAAATAGGCTTGTTCCGTATGCCCGTGTTGCATAGTCGCTTCTCGCATATGCAATTCCGCGATGCATCGGCGCGGGCCCGAGCGTGCGAGCACGGGAACACGAGGGTGACGTGAAACCGGCGGGAAAGGAAATACATAATTCGTGACGGGGTGCGTGCGGACACGCTTAATTTAGTCTCTGGAGACGAACTCGAGATACGTAGAGAGAAACGTAGTAGAGAACTGTGGTGAAGAATAGGCAATATTCGTTAATTAATTTTACAATAAAATCTACATACATTTTTCTCCTGCATACATTTATAAAGATTACGATCTTTACTGCGTATAATCTTTATTGCAATTTCGTTTTAATTAATCCACCACAGATATCAATAACGCATTTTTGAATATATTAAATATAGATATTAAGATAAATAGATATATAGATAGATATTAAATAGATATATGGATAAATGGAATTAAGTCCCGATCAAAAGTTTTAAATCTCTATAAAATCTAATGTTTCAGATCTGATGATATCGATGATATCGATCGTTATATCGGATAATCAAAATAAAAATAACGAGATAATAAAAGATAATGAACGAAAGTTAAGCCTTTCTCTCTCTCTCTCTCTCTCTCTCTGCTATCGCAATAAATACAATAAATTTCTCAAAATTATTCGAGAATTATTCGAAATGGATAGCCTATGATATAATGTTCACGATTCTGAAACACAAAATCTTATTCACCGATTCGTTCGCACAATCGTTGATCCGATTCACTGTAATCGTACGGATCCGTGTAAATTGAACAAAACGCGTGCTCGCACCTCCACAAAGTCGAGCCAAGTACGGGTTCGGTGCTTTGTGTGTCTAAGTGCCATACAAAAAGCCGCCTTCGTCCCCCGGAACCCCCCCTCGGGGAACCCGCGCCTTTAACAGCTTACAGGGGTTGCATTCATGACTTTGCTCAACGCCTATTGGGGTCTTTTCTGTGCGCGATTTCGTCGAGAGCCACGGTCATCATAGCGTTGCGGGCTTGAACGAGCTATTTGCCAAACATTTTCCTTCTCGAGGGCTGTCTCTTTTGCTACGGCAAGTGCAAAGTGTAACGCAGGTCCCTTCCTTACCCTTTACGAGGATACGATCGTTTTATTCGGCCGAACATATGTGGAACATTTGGAACATTTGGATCAGACGAGATCATCGAGGAAATAGGTCAGGGTGGTTTTCCTCGTTTCGATAAATCGTAATATTAATGATCGTAAATGGTTGAACAGTTTGTCCAATATGGACCGTGTACCACACCTGGGATATATATTGATTTAATCGGATCAAAGTATCAATTTATATGATCCGTGAATAAGGATACGCAATCGTATTTTGTTACATCGATTCTGGTACTTGGAAAAATGGATAAAGATATTCGATATTCAAATTGTAATTGTGTTTAAAGCCAAGATTATTGGAGATACATGAAAATCGAGATTTCTTTTTTTCTTTTTTTTTAAATTTTTCCACGCGTCGTGAAAATGATGCTGTGGAAAGTAAACGATAATGGAGAAAAGCGTTGCAGCAAAGGAATGTAGAAAAATTTATCGGGGAAAGTTGGAATCGAAACGAATTGGGAAACGAAATGAAATCGAGGGGGAATAAAATTGGTAGGGATAAAAACCGCGGCGGATAGATTTCCGTAAATTTCCATTTTTCCTGATATTACGTTCACGTGGCCGGTGTTTTTATTACACGGAAAGGAAACGGATGCAGCCGAGCGAATTTAAGCAGCGTGCATTCTACCTGGTGGCCGTTTTCTTTTCGACTCGCGCGTGACCAGGACAATACCGTCCCTACTTAGCTCGCCACTTCTTATCTCTTATTTAGCATTTGAATTTTTATTCGTTTTATGATTTCCTGTGCAAGCAGCCTAGACGTTATGCTAATCGCTGATCGTCTCGGCGTCTTCTCCCGCGGCTTGTTTGCCGCGAATATTGCGCGATTTACGGAACCCAATAAACCGATAATCACCGCTTATTTTCATCCCTTTCACCCTCCCTCCCGTCTCCTCCGAGATTTCATCGCGGCCGCTTCAATTATTTTAGAAAATTTCTCGAAAGGCGGCTCCGCGCGAGATTTCATCTTGAATTATCAACGTATTTTTATCATATCGTTATTCGTAATTTTTTCCTTTTTTTTTTAATGAATTTTTATTGCATTTACCTTGTATCCTTCCGTGACTAGTCCTGCACATCTCTTCGCCAAATTGCATTTCATCCTCAGAATAAAAACACGTTCCAACTCGATCTCCCCTCTCGAGTTCGCAGAAGTGAAGCTAGCCAGATCTGCTGGACTCTGTGGTAGATTTAGAACCGACAACATTTCAGCATGATCGTTCTGGTAGATGTACTCGAAGATACTGTTCCCCGTTAATTCCACCTGAACTCATAAAAATTATTCATCGTCAGCAGATTTATCTATATATTTGATAGAATTCTATTTTTCTGAATTTTCGTAATTCTTCGAAATAGCGTTGGAGGAGTAAATGGAGAAGAAAAAAAAGTTATGTCTGACCTGTGCCATTCCCAAATGCACGCTTGCAGTTTCGCTTATGTACATAATTTTGCCATCGGGAGCCAGGACAAACACGAAACCGTCCAAAGCCTGAAAAGTAAGGGATATCCTCGTTTGAACGTTTAATTCAAGGAAACGCGAAGACGAAATGATGAAAAAAAAAAAAAAAAGAAAAAAAAAAAAAGGGAAGAATATTCTGGTTCGTTAGAAGTTAGAGTTCAACGCCTCGTTACAGCCCTGATCTCTTTCGTATTGAACAGAACAGTTTTCAACTCCTGGTCGCGCCCTTATCTCGTTTAATTAGAGAAGAAAACGATGTTATAAAGGTTGTCAGGAAAATGAAGTGTCTGTCTGTGGTAATACTGAGGCTAAACATGACGTTGTTTTTAATCTAACAACGTTGCGTTAAACGTTACGTCGTTGTATAAGGCGCGACACAGAGAACGATGAGTGCTTACTTGCAAAATATAACTAGTCACCTCCTTGAGGGCGATTTGCAGGGAGATGTTGCCTGGCTGGGAAGCGCCCCATTCTTCACCGAGCCCTGAAAAATGATTTTCGGACCGTCAGACTTTCCTCCGAGCCAATCTTCTTAAGTGCGATCAGAAAAATTCAAATTCGTCTAAATCTGTCTTCCTTGGGATATACAAAGAAAGATTCGCTCATAAAGGTGTTCCATTCATTCCTCAATCAAATATACTTTTCGTTCATAAATTTTATCATTGTTTATCCTCTCTTTATTTAAAATATAAATTTAATAGATTGGTCGAAAGATCTATCATTTTTCGCCGACGAAAGTTCAAAAATAGATTTATTTTCGATCACTTCCGCTTGTATTTTTTTTTTTTTTTTCAACGATATGATTCAACGAAACAAAAAGGGACCGAATAATTGCCCTTTAATCGCAACGATTAGGCAAGAGAAAGATATCCTCGGTAAGGACACGCATCGCAACACGGTTCGGTCTTCTTATCCCGATATACATGTTTCTAGTGACGTTTCGTACTCGACGTGTAAGTAAGCCTATAGCCAAGTATTTCGTGTCCGCGCATTAATTACGTTCACGCTCGCGCTGCCATGGTTGCAGCTGCAGGGGCGTTTTCTGCAGCCGCGCGGAATCTCGCGGAAAATGGCTTGATCGTTGCCATCTCGCCGACGTTTCCAGTGTTTCTTAACTTTATCAGATATCTCACTTATCGACGTCCCTCTCTAGAAGAAGCGACGAAATAATAATTGTTAAGTAAACGATTGTCGATAAAAATCGTAGAGTTATAAATCATTCGAACCGTGGCTATTATCATATTTATCACCGTTGCTCTTCGATGCAGA